AAAGGCTTCAAATCTGTGAGAAATCTGTGGATTTACACACCAGGGCTTCCCTCAAAGCTAACGTGACCTCACAGTCCTTTCCAGGATCAGAGCTGGCGGAACCTCGTCTTGTTTCTGAGAAGCCAAGACCGTCATGAGTCAATGCAAGACACTTGACGCTGATTCATTACTGCCAGGCTCGGCTCTGCTTCAAAATGAAGAACTGAGCTGTTCAGGCGCTAACACCAGCCTGTGAGTACAAGAAAAAAAACTAAATGTCCATGCCACCTGCTGGACACCTGGAGAACTACACCCCCCAAAACATCAGCACTCTAAGAAGGTTACAAATAAGAGAAGAACATTCTGCCCATCTTGCCCCTTTGGAGGTCAGTAGATAATTAAGCCAAGGATGTCATTAGGCAATTCCTTGGAGGAAGCCAGTGTATCACCCTCAACAGCTCGGCTCCTATTGACACAGCCCTGTTCTGGCCTCGGGGCTGACTTTGAGGGTCCTGAATGCTTGTTATGGGGGTCTCTGCTCAGGACTGAAGAGTGTTTAGTTATCTCAGCCTGTAGGTGTAGGACATCCCCATATACCTTGGAGTTGCTCTCTATGGATGGATTTCAGAGCAGCAACATCTTTTCTACAGCATGTTAACCAATAATGTACATATTATTCTAAGTAGGCCTTGCTAATGGACTATACATTATTCAGCCTAACACCCCCCACCCACATTTAAATTCTGTATTGTAATCCAGACTATATCCTAATGTTTTGTTTACCTTCTTAATTTCTCCTAAGGCAAATGATGCATCAACATAAACACCTGAGTCTTTTTTTTCCATTTGTAGCCTCTAATAGCTCAGTGTTTCCCATTTTATACCTGTATTTTGTTTTTACTACCTGCATGCAAAACCCTGCACTTGTCCACATGACACCTGTTAGTGTAGCCAAGTGATCACCACGTTTTGAATTTTATCAACACTGTTTATCTCTTTTTGGATTTCAGGTGCTGATTCTGTGGGGTGTGCCAATCCCCCTTATTTGGTATCATGTGAAAATGTGATTAGTTTACTAATGATATAGGATCCTGGCTCATGGATATGGGTTAAGAAGAGCAGTGGTCCTAGTATATCTCCTGAGGAAGAACATTACATCACCCTAGTTCATCCCTTATTAGTACCCTGTTTTCTGTTTACGAGGTAATTTCAATCTGAACACTTTTGTTTCCCTGAGGTCCTACTGTCCGCCATTTGAGAATTCATCTTTGATGAGGAAGTTGATCAAAAGACTTCTGCAAACCTAAATGCACCATAGCATTCTGCACGAGCTCCACACCAAGCAGGTGTCAGCACACGGCTGGCTTGGGGAGCTCCAGACCGACGTCTCTGGAAAAAACACCTCCATCTCTACCCTGCTGAAAACTGGCTTCCATCCCACACCTTATTAAACCTCAGACTGCAACCCCAGGTGGAAGACGAGAATGCTTGAGGAGCAGGAGAAGGGAAGATATTTCAGAACCTCCTAGTACAGCAGCCATGCTGCCCCTGCTGTGCTTTTGCATGTCATGCAGCAGTAGTACTTTGTCTGGTGAGCGCACATCTCACTGTCTCGTTCTCTCAGCTCCGCAGGTTTGAGCCCAGAGCCACAGTCTCCTTCTGCACAACCACCCTGAACATGCAGTCTTATGGGAGGGGGGGAGAATACAGAATCTCTCTTCAGACTAAACGTGAATCCCCTGCATTAGATCTTAATTTGGAAATCGCATAAGAGTGCCTTTTCCTTATTTATTCATTAGAATCCTGGGAGTCCGGTGGCTGGCGAAACGAGTCTACCTGCTCAACTGAAAGGCACCTCGCCAGCCCAGTCTCGCCGTCAGAGGGAGAGACCCGCCTCGCTCGGAGCCGCTGGTCTCAGGTTGCGCCCCGAGCCCGAAGGGGCCCTCCTCTGACGGCGGCCGGTGCGCGCCAGTGAGGATTACCCACGTGGGGTCGTCAGCGACCCCCTGTTCAGGCCTCCACTCAACTCAGGCCAGCTGTGCCACGCCTGCACCCCCCCCCTCACTCCGGGAGCTCCCAGCAACAGTTGGCCTGTGCCACAGCCCGGATTCGAACCCGTGATCTCCAATCAAGGCACCACCTTTTGGCAGATGAGCCCCACGAAATGCCCGTAAGAACGTGGCAGCACTGACCTTGGCTTTCAGCATCCCGAAGCCCACCGTCTCCTTGGCGTACATGCACAGCAGCAGGTTGGCCACACGGGTGATGGCCACTCGGCCCTCCTACAAGACACAAGGGAACAAGACCTGAGCCTCTTGCAGACCGAGCACCAGACGCACCAGCCCCGGCTCTGAAACACGTCACCAGAGCTCGGTATTTTTTGGGGGGGGGGGATTCTGTCATGTAACTTGGGAGAGGAAAAAAAAAATGGATCCAATACTGAATCTCTATCATCTCTGTTTCCGTTCGCCCTGGAATCACCATCCCAGCGCCTGGTGATTTCCTGTAAAAAGGCCCCACTGAAACACCAGCTGCCTTGGGGATGTGCACATGCTCGTGTCATATGTGAAGTCTGCCCCCCAGCCAGGATTCGATCTCTCGAGCTCCAGAGTATCAGTATCAACACAGATCCCTCTCCAAGAGCCCTTCCCATCTTCCACGGCAGCCTCGCTAGCCAGCAGGCATCAGCCTCGGTGATATGAGTCACACAAGGAAGTAGCTGCTCTGACTATTTATTTCTGCATTAAATTCAACACTTAAGCTGAAATGGAAAAATTAACCTACCAGTTAAAACTCCAGAAGGAGGTCTCTGGAGAAGGAGAGATACTGGGAGAGGTGGATTATTTATATGACCTAATGATAATGTTTTTCTGTTTCTGGAAGTTCTTTTTTCTCCACCCTCATCTTTCCCCTGCACTATCTCCCCTGACAAAATGGAAAAGAATGATAAATAACAGACTTTATACTCATTTATGTTTGTAATAGTTGATGTTTTGCAACTTTTTACATTTATTTTTGATTACCTTTGTATGTTCATAAAAGTAATAAAACATAAGTAACAAATAAATGTAAGACTTAAGATTTTCAGAGACTATGGTGACTCAGAATAGGTTTCCTTGGGTGATAACTCTCACATGAAAAAACTGCTTCGCACTGACTGGTTCGGAAAATAAATGACAAACAATAAATCTAAGGTCAGGATCTCTCTCCTGGCAGCTGGTTAGTTTTCATGTTATAACACATGTATAAGCTCACGAGCGTGTAAAAGATGATTACTGGGAAAAAAGCAAGATTATAACAATACAAGAGAGGTTAAAAATTTAATGAAGCCACACTCTGCTTGTTGAACTTTCAGAAGTTTATGGATTCAAGGACTGAATGATCCCAAGAATTCAGCTTTAAGAATGTGGCCAGGCACTTTGCCCCACTCACCCACTTACTCTTAGTGTAAAGCACAAACACAGACACAGGTCCTAAATGCACTTAACCCTATCTTCTACTTGAGTCCCCAACGTTTTACCCCTCCTTCAAGAGAAGACCTCTAGGTGAGGTTTATCAAAGCCTTTTGGGATTCTGAAGTCCAGCTCAATTGTAAATTGCTTTCCTTAAGCCTAGAAAAATGAATTAATAGCGTTTTACAGTGCTTTTCATCCCAAAGCACTTAATATACAAGACAGACGTCACCTCATCTACCACTATGGTGCCAGACACAACTTGCACTGTGCGCCACAAACTCCATGGCACAGCAGATCAGATGGGAAAGTGGGAAACAGCTTCATCAGTTCACCCTTCACCAGGGGGCTTTATGCAGGTCAGGCTGCGCCAGGCCCAAGGCCCAAGACTAATGTGTAGACTAACCTACTCTTCCAACAGTGGCGAGAGAACTTGAAAGATCAAGCGGTGAAGAACGAGGTTTAAAGTCTCATCCGAAGAGTAGGGCTTCAAAGCTCAGCTGCTGGAGACCCACACACCCACGGCAGCCCAGCGTAGCTCCTGCACTCAACCCTCCACTGTACTAACAACTTACCTGAGCAATCTGATTATTTGCCATTGAGTTTCCTACTCAAAAGTTGGGGATTTTACTTACGAAATGCGGTACAGTAGTTAAAACGTAACCTCCAAAATGTTTAGAGCTTAAACCAGTCAAATTAAATCTAAATCTAAAAATGAATGAATCGATATTAATACATCCATTTAGAGTTCAGCTGTGGAACTGAGGGCTCGGCTGGGAACAGAAATCATCGGGTATGTGGTCCACCAGGAGCAGGACTGGGAGCCCCTGTCCTACAGCACAGCGCCCCCCGTCACTATGCTGAGACACTGTCTTGGAAATCCTGTCCCAGGGAGAAAAGCACCACCTACTACCAACACCGCTTACACTAGCAAACTGCTATTCCTGCAGTCCTCCCATGCCAGTGCAGTCCAGGTTCGGCCTTGATCAGCTTCCGATATCTCAGAAAAGAGGGCTAAGAGATGATGAGGAACAAGTAAAGGTTTATTCCATGCTGAAAAGAGAAGAAAAGAAACACGTTTCGACGGTGGAGCCTTCTTCGGGTCCACAGTGGGAAACTTGTGTTTCCTTTCTTCTCAGCCTGGAATAAGCGATTACTTGTTCCTTTGCAGACTACGCATGCTGACGCAGCTCCCCACTTGAACTACTGAGAGGTGATGATGCTATAGTCCTCTAGACTGCCTGTGGTCAGTGTTTGTGGTTGGTCCACTCTGACTCCTTGCAGCAGTAAGCAGTCTGCCGAAGCACTGGAGGAGTGGAACAGTCGACCCCTGGTGGGGACGCGGGGAAGTGCAGCGGCTCACCATGCAGTCCATGAGGATGAACTTCAGCTTGTCCTCGTTGAAGGCCTGGTGCCCGTTCTTGTCGTACGCTGCCCAGATGTTGCTGGCGATGGCGGCGGTCACGCGGGCATCTGTGTCTCCGTAGCCGGAGTAGGCCAGAAGGGAGCCTTCGTTATTCAGCAGGCTGGGGAAAGGAGCAGAGGGAAAGTCACCGTCATCAAGTCTCTAACGGACTGCTGGAGCCCTCCTCTTATTCCAGGCTGGCTCCACTGAGTTTCCAAAGTAAGTGTTGAAGGCAGAGTCTGTAGGAGGCACGGTGCTGTGGAGGTAAGCACTCCTGCCTCATAGTACTGGGGGTGCTGTCTGTGAGGAGTTTGCATGTTCCTCCAGGTGCTGTGGTTTGCTCCCACAGTGAAAAGTCATGCTGGTGGATTAATTGGAAGAACTGGCTCTGTGTGTGAGTGTGTATCTGCCCTGTGATGGACTGGCATCCCGCCCAGGGATGCTTTGCGCCCGTTGATTACCAGGATAGACTCCGGTTCCCCTGCAGTCCTGGATTACCATGACAACAGACCCAGGGAACCACAGCTAGCTCACTCGGATAACCGTGACGACCATGATGTTCCAGAGAACAGGATATCAGCCCTGGGCTTTGGGGAAACTGCTCACAATACATCATCATTAGTATTCAACTAGCAATAATCGCGCCTCGGGCCAAATCTCATATACTGCGATACAGCTACTGTGCAAAGCTGTAACTGACCATCGGACACAGAGGAGAGGAACTCAGGAACTCAGAAACTGGCGGTGGGAAGAGATAAGCCTCCAGGGGTCCCCGGGCAGCATCGTCTCCCTGCTGGTCTAGTGGTTAGGGTTCGGCGCTCTCACCGCTGCGGCCCGGGTTCGATTCCCGGTCAGGGAAGAGTCTCCTTTTTTATGGGGGTATAGCTCAGTGGTAGAGCATTTGACTGCAGATCAAGAGGTCACCAGTTCAAATCTGGGTGCCCCCTCTGTATGTGACTTTCATCAATTTATAAAGTATTATCTATCTATCTATCATTACTGCACCCCAAACTCACTGCCCGGGGACCCCCGGAGGCTTATCTCTTCCCACTGCCAGTTCCTGAGTTCCTCTCCTCTGTGTCCGATGGTCATTTACAGCTTTGCACAGTGGCTGTATCGCAGTATATGAGGTTTGGCCCGAGGCGCGATTATTGCTAGTTGAATACTTTTCCCAAACTAGTTATACTGCCATAGAAATCTGTAAAATACTCTGTGGCAAAGCGCTGTGAAGAGCGTTATACCAGATACATTGACAGACTGATGCGTTAGATGTTATGAAATTAGAAGTTAAACCTGGGATTCAGGTAAAAACGTGTACGAATACATAGAAAAGTAATCACTACGTGTCCGTAAAAAAATATATATTTTTTAAATGCTGTATACATTATTTAAAGTGAATTATTTCAAAAGAAAATGATCTACATTTGGTTATTTCAGGATGTTGCAGAGACACGTTCTTCTTCGGGTACTCACGCTGAGTATTTTATCATACGCTTTTTTTACTATCGCACAATGCAGTTCAGCCTTCCGAGAAAGCCTATATATCAACTGCCACCTTATTGAGTCGCGCTGGCATTGTAAACGTGCCGTTGCCGCTAAGGGGAAGTTCCTGCTGTTCCTGGTGTTACTGGAGACCAAATACGAGCTTTTTCTGCAAGAGAGGCGAAGGCAGCTTAGATTGGGAAACTCGTTACCGCTTCGCACGCAGGTTACCCACGAATTTTGTTCGACAGCTGCGTTAAGTGTAGGTTATCTCCCACCCAGTCAAATATATTTTATAGCAGAACAGTCCGCATCTGTGAAAATATCAGGTGGAAACGTGGTTATTATAGCCTTCATCATTACTCACAGTGTACTCTGAACGCCGCTTGTATTCGCCTGGCTCAGAACTTGAGTCAGTGCCTTTGGTCGCAGCATGGTTGGAAAAAAGAATACGAAGAAATCAAGTATTAAATCTAAATAACTACAATACTTGTACTCTCCAAAATATACAGTATCCTCGCGGAAAGCACCACTCCGTCAGCTGACTGAACATTCCGGAAGTCACTTCCTGTTTACGTCTCGAGTCCACTGCGGTTCTGGGAATTGTAGTTTCCTTTTGCGACGCGGTAGCGTCCTGTGCACACGTCTCGATTGTAGTTTTCACAAAACTTTAACAGTTCCATTAAACAGCGGTTCAGTTTGTATTGCGGACAGATTTTATCCGGCGTAAGGCACGTACAGCGGACTTATAAATACCAGGTGGCCCCGTCTACTTTTGTGTCGTGTCCGTTTAGTTTGAGGCGCAAACAAAAAACTGTAGTACCTTTAACTCAGTACAGTACCCGAAATTAAGTACAGTATCTGTGTTTCTCCTCTGCCTGGGAGTACGGCCTTTTCTAGTGGGGTTTACCCTTGTAAAATCAACCCCCATCACCTTCCCCTTGATACAACTCACAAAATACTGCATCATAGTAAACACCTGGGACTTGGTTAGCAGTATACATTACAATGCCCTCACGTTACGGACAGTAACACGCAGATTTAATTGACAAAAGTCTGAAGCGAAAAGCAGAAGGAAAAGCCTTGTAATGTGGTTAAAGGTTTTAAGTAGATAAGCTTATGATTTAGATATTACAATTAGCTTTGTTTTACGATAAAGTCTTGAAATACGTAGTACGAAAACCTGTTCAAGTTGTTATTGTACTCGAAGATAAGATAAACAAGTCTAGGCATGTTATTACTGTCGGTGTGATGTATAGTTTTCCAGATTACCTCGCCTCGGAAATGTTTAA